GTTGCATAGTGACAATAACTGATTAAAGGGATTGATAGGGAACTCAGGAGTGGGGAATGGGTGATAGAGAAGGGGGATTTCAGGAGTGGGAAATAGAGGGAGGGAGCACTAGAACTGACTGTGATTGCATAACTCATTTTTAAAAACTAATTAGCCTTTAACATTTTATTTTATTGGGGACTCTTACAGCTCTTATCACAATCCATACATATATATCCATTTTGTCAAACACATCTGTACATACGTTGTCATCATCTTTTTCAAAACTTTTTCTGTCTACTTGAGCCCCTGGCATCAGCTCCATCTTCCCCCTACCCCCACCGCCCCTCCCTCACCCATGGACCCTTGATAATTTATAATTTTTTTCATGTTTTCCATCGACATCGACTCCTGTCTCATTTCACCCACTTTTCTGCTGTCCGTCCCCCTGGGATGGGGGCCATACGTTGATCATTGTGATCGGTTCCCCAATTCTCCCCCCACCACCACCACTACCCTTACCCTCCTAGTATCACTGCTCCCCTTCTTGGTCCTGAGGGGTTTGTCTGTTCTGGATTCCCTGTGTTGTGCACTCTTATGTTGCACAACTCATTTTAAAGAAGATTTAACCAGGGATGGGGGATGTTCAAAAGTTGATATGGTAATGATTATACAATAATTAATATTTTAAAAAGTACAGTCTCAAAAACCCAAGCTCAGTCTACCTTGTCCTGTGGGGTCACTATGAGTAAGAATCGACTTTATGAAAGAGGGTTTGACTGTTATCTGTTTTATCAAATAGTTTCTACTGCCAATGTGGTAAATTCATTCATTCACATAACCTAAAACATTTTGTCAAAGCATGAATCTTATTATCTTATGTCCTATCTGTTATTCCCTTAGAAAGAGGAAAAAGTATGTTTTAAGTAATGGAAAGCTTTATTCACACACAAGTCAGAAAACTAAATATACTCTACTAAACTTAAATGCCTCATGGTTCATATCATAATAAAGTCTAATAAATCAGATATTATTCAGATAAAAATGTGAGAAATAAAAATCTAACAGGTTAAAAGTACAAAAAATAATAGAAAAGGTTTAGTTTTTAAAAGAGAGATAGAAATGGGATTTTTTTCCAAAAGCATGGGCTTATTCTAAACACATTTAAAAAATTCTAGCTGTAATGTCAACTTTCAAAATAGCGAATAATAAACGTTCCTTAATATCCACACTTTGTTTTGTGCTGTCAGTTAACTTTAAAGATAAGAATATGTTTGATTAATAGTTCTTTTCTAAACCTTTGATGTAGGTAAACATTACCTTTTAGAACCTATTCATAAAGGTTTCCAGGAAGTAGCAATCTGGTAGCAGTTTTAGTTGTATCTAAATTGAATGTCAGAGACACTGACATATTGTGACTTATGTTACCAGCTTAATGTATCAGACAAGTAAAGGCCAAACTTCTAGTGTTGGCTACAGGAATTGTGAGTATAGATCTTGGGAACAAATGACAAGGCAGGGAAAGTATATAGTCCTAAATAGTGTCCACTGTTTTATCTTCCTAGTTCCAAATATCCATTGAAATAGCTACACAGAAACTCAGACAAAATCCATGAATAAAGGGTTTATTATTAAGGAAGTTGACACATAATAATTCCAGTGAGAAATGCTTAGGGTAGCTGTTTACCAGGAAATATTACAAAGTTTCAAACTGCGAATATGTGCCCAAAGAGGCAGCCCACTCTGCCATAAGCCTTACCCAGAAACATTCAGCTCAAACTCCACGGGTCAGCAAGTGCAGCTTCCCCAATTAAGTGCCCAGAGGCGTCCCACTCCAAAAACCAGCCTCCTGCACAAAAGTACTCAGCTTAGCTTGTTCCGTGGTTTGGGAAGTGCATTACTCTGTCCTATGCTCGGGCTCCAGGTTCTGCTGCTGCTCCCCTGACGGTATAGCTGTCATTGGTATCCAGCAGGTTGACTGTGCAGGGATCTGGGGTCCAGAGGACATGCTCTTCTCCCGGCTCTTCCTGGTAGTAGAGCTCTTTCCTCCTGGTTCTCCAAGGGTTCATTTTATACACAGCAGAACGCCACTCCAAGGAATCCGGTTCGCAATTACTCACAGGTGAATCCTATCAATATCTTCGCCCCATCTTCTTACTTAGGCAGGGGAAGGTCCTTTGGTGGAAATTAGAGACTTTGGTGAGAAGAGCCACATTTAATAATTCACTGCCCTTGAAGGTAGCAAATGGGTTTCAACACAGTCTAACGGCATCTGGGGGTTTCTTGCCCGATTCATTGTGTGGAGGAGGATTTTGAGGCTAAAGTTAGTATTCTGGGAAAGCGTCCGACATGCTAGGATCTAAAAGCAATGACTACCACAGGTAGGCAGGAAGGACTGGCTTGCCAGTTGTTCTGTTTGGGGTTTTCCATGTAGCTTAAGGTAACTGGTACTGGGGTCCCTACTGCTTGCTGTGCATCTGTTCTATCCTTCTGTCTGTGAAAACTGGGGTTCCTACCTCTGTATGTGGCAGGAGACGTTTTCCTCATAGCACCATAGTTTATTGCCAGAAGTTTAAGAGGCTAAGCAGAGGTGGGTTATTTGCAGGGAATAGAAGCTGTCTGTCTCTACGTCACGTAAACACAGACAATGTATTGGAGGAAGTCCACAAAGTCAACAGGAAGATTACTGGACTCAACTCAGGCAGGAACTAAGGAAGGCAAAGGATGGAAGACAAGGACGGTCTATTTAGGATGCAAGTCCCATCAGCATTGGTCACTTGTTGCCTGCAGCTACTGGACTCTCCCACCCCTGGACACTCACCATCTGCTACACTCAATCTCACCACTGCCGCCACAAATAATTTGAGTCCATTTTGTGTTCCTCTCTCAAAATTCCAAATTCCAGGCTGGAGCCTTACTTAGATAGCCCATCTACACTCTATTTCTAGAGAGTCTCTTCTTGGAGAAGAGAAATGCGAGCCAAAACGATGCCCTCCACAAGTATCCACGGCGATGCCCTCCACAAGTATCCACGGCACACAGTATTCGACCTGGGGAAGCCACGGGAGGAGACCCGGTGTGTCCATCCAGCTGAGAAACCTCTGACACGGAAAAAAAAAGAAACGAGACATGCTGGGAGTTTGAAAGTTTAAAGTTGTGGGTAAGATTATTTAGGAATAGGCAGCGTGGGTATGAGGAGGGGCTAGAGTCCCACGTCGGGACTTTTGGTCCTTACAACAAACTGTGAAAGAGAACTAGAAGGAACAAACGGAAGCCGGAGAACTACACTGAGATGACCTCAAGGTAGATGCTCACTGCAAAGACAAAACTGCCAGGAAATAAGTCTGGCCCTGGGAGACATGCCAAGCACAGGGTGAAGTTCTAAAATTGCAGATGAGCACTTCCCCCACCTCTACCCCAACAAAAGTTAAGAGAGCAAAAAGGGTAAGCAAGGAGATGGGTAGGTTTGCAAGATTGCCGTTTGTGACATCTATTCATTGATGGCCACATCAGGTCACCACTGGACTCCAAAGCACGAGGTTGGCAATTTGAAACCATCAGCCACTCTGTGGGGGAAAACTGAGGCTACCTACTCCCGTAAAACTGTACAGCCTCAGAGTCCCCATCGCTATGAGTCGGAATCTAACTCGATGGGCATGTTCAATGAATTGGCTCTCCTAGGCAGACATTCCCAGCTGAGGGGAAGAAACACATGCTTTCCAATCTTAAACTTAAAGCATTGAGAAACTGATGGGCTATCCCTCTCCACTAATACTGGCACACTGAACCCACATGAAAGGAGAAATACATTCGTTTTGCAGGATCCTTGAATTCTTGGCTAGCCCTAGAGGGTCCTTACAGTCTTCCAAATTGGGCTTAGGAGCAGTTTTGGTCAGACGGAGGAGGCAACACTCAGGTGGTACAGATCGCTTCAGGCACACAGTGGGCCTGAGGAGACCAAGTTTCTCAGTGGTTAGCTCAAGTCCAGTAGAAGGTGTTTGTAGATAGTAGTGGGGATAGCAGTGGAGAAGGAGCCATGGTGGTGCAGTGGTAAGACATTGGTCTGCCATCCAAAGGGTAGGCAGTTCAAAGGTTAAGAGCTTAGGAATCCAAACACAAGAGTATTTATTGTTTTTCATATGAGTATCTTGATTTAATTTAGAAGTTTTGGGAAGCAATAGCTCAAAGCTTATTTCCTAGTTTAGGGAAAAAACTAAATATAAATTTACACGAAAGAAAAAAAATTCATACAGAAAAAATGCTCAAGATAGTTAATGGCAAATGAAATTTTAGCAGCTAAATAAAGCACCCTTCCAAGTCATGCGTGCCTTTTTGGTAATGTGAATTTCTATGCATACCTTTGGTTTATTTGATGAGCTCAGGGGAAAAAAAGTTAAGTCCTTATATACCTTTCCTAAATTCCTAGAATACCAGAATTATGAAACGTATTATCGTGTTGTTTCGCGGGTATTTGTGGAAGACGATTTTTAATTTAAACACACACAAAGGAAACCGACAATCCCACATTAACCAGCAATCCCACCAAAGAAGAAATACAAAGAGGAAGTCAATCAAAGAGTCTGTCCGGCAGTCAGAGCCCGTCCCGACCTTGACTAACCCTCATCTTTATCCCAGTTCCTTCTGGATACCGCACCCCCACCCCCCACCCCTCTACGTCCTTCAGTCACTGACTACAGGCGACTACCAAAGGTGATTAGACTCCATGAATCCCATTCTAGTGGTGGCTGTTCTGCTTTCGAGGTCGCAGCCTGTCCCCACAGCTGTCAAGCAGAGTAATCAGACCTGCGCCCTGCTCTCACACTGGGTTGTGGCTGGGATCAAATGGGGACAGCCACCAATAGTAGGTGGGGGTCGCCGACAGAACTCAGCTTCAGCCCCCCTCTCCAGGCACGCCTGGTCGACCTAGAGTCAACAGGAAGCTCTCGGGGCAGGGACAGTCTCCCAGCCTTGGATGGCGACCAGGATGGAGAGGACGGTGTGAGTAACGCCCTCCTGGCTCCCGCATTAGCGCTGGGATTTCTCGACCCACGACAAAGGGGGCGGAAGCAAGGCAATGAGAAACAAACAGCCGATCCCCGACCCTCAACCCTGCCTCCCGCCGCACCAAACCAAGCAACACGCGGCAGCCCTCCACACTAGGGATCCGGGCAACCTAAGCACTGGAGGAGGGCAGACAGGGCTGAGTTGGCGCCCCATTCGATCTTCCGAGGTAGCCGTGGGTGTGCGCGTGGGGAGGGGGCGCTGGGGCCTGCTCTTCGGGGTACAGAAGCACCTCCTCCTCACGCCCCCTCAGCCTGCTCCGCCTCGGGAATCAGCCCCGGACCCCGCCGCCATGTTGGGTCGGGATAAGTGACTGGGACTCGCCGTCGACGGGAGCCCCGGAGGGCGCGGGACGCGCGCCGGCGCCGGAAGGAGGGGCGCCCAGCCGGGCCGCGGGCGCGAGTTCCGGTGAGCCTGCCGGGCCGTGCAGCGCGCAGGTAGCCGCAGGCCCCGCCCCGCCCCGCCGAGGAGCGAGGGGCGGAGCCGGGGGCGAGGGGGCGGAGCCGGGGCGAGGGGGCGGGGCCGGGAGCAAGCGAGGGAGGGCGGGCCGGCGGAGGGCCGAGAGGAGGTGGAGGGCGAGGCGCAGGGGTGGGGAGCCGGGGAATCCCCTCCTCCAGAAGCAACGAGTCCGGCTCCGGCTCGGCCGTCGTCGCTGCCGCCTGGCGCCCCGGGACCGGGAGGTGGAGGAGGGAGAGGGCCCGCGGGCCTGGTTGCCTGCAGCCCGCTGCCCGCTCCCCTCCGCCGGAGCCG